CCAGCTGCGAGAGGCAGGATTTTTAAATTTAATAAATACATAAACATTAATTAAAAATATTCATTGCGATTTGAGCCAGCTCAAGAGCTGACAAAGTCGAGTCTCGAACTCGAGCTCGTGGCTCGATAAGCTTGGCTCGCGAGCTGGTTTGGCTCTCTTACACCCCTACATGTGTTAGTTTGTGGGTTGTCGGTGGTGGCCTAGGGTGGTGGGGGATTGGCGGTAGCAATGTCGCCGTTCGACTAGTGATGTAATAGAATGGCCTAGGTCGACCAATCTAGGCATTTACGTATCTAGCAAACTCGAGCGAACAGTCCCCCTCTCGCTATCGTGACCAGTTGTGCAACAACCATTGTTTCACACCTCATTCCTCTCTCCAATCACATAAATCACACGATTTCAGCACCTTTTGAAATCTTACCACCCTTGTCGCCTTCTTTTTGTCATTTAAGGTGAAGAATGGAACCTAGCCCGGGCATCTTTCTAAACCTTTCCTTGCCTCTCTTGCAGCCACCTAAAGCCCTCCTCCCTCTTGTAGCCACCAAACCTCTTTCATATTCTTCCTTTTCATTTATCTCCCTCGAAATGCAACCGTTATTAGCAAAGAAGATCTCTACATATTCTACCTCTTTGAGCGAGGTAGAGTCTTCCTTCTTTCTCTTGGATCAAATTTGGGTCTTCCTCCATCTTTTTCCATTGATCGAGATCGTTCATCAAAAACACATTCTTTTAATTTTTATTAGTGATTTTTTGGTTTATAAATTTGATTGGTTACATTATATCTTAATATATTATACTTTCTTGATTTTGTATATTTTTTGGTGGCTCTTATTCATGATTGTAGGCTCTCCTTCTAGATTAGAATGTAATTCACAAATTCCGTAATTTAGGCCATTTTGGATGCTTTTAACTTAATCATTTTTGGCCTGAATCATTTAGGCTAGATTAAGGATATTCAATATATTTCTATATAGATATATTTAAGCCCAGGTTTGTAAACATTATGTTTCAAGCATTGATGTATTCAACATGATTCTTATTTGTAGGACCTTCAAGTCATGGCCTTCGTAGCACTGTTGGTTGATTATCTTATAGGCTTAAAGTTTCATGATATTTGCCTAAAAATAAGTAATAACCGTTATTTATTTTAGTGTAAACGTATCCTTTCTTGTAAATGTCATAAATCTGTACTATTTGTATTAGGTTTTAGTAATTAATTTTTACTGCAAGTTTTGTTATTGCAAATTTTTTTATGCATATGCTCATAATGAATTAGAAAGCTTCATAAATAGAATATTCTTGATTTATTGATGCATAATCTCATGTATATCAATTTTATATTTTCATGCAGGCTCTTGTTTGAATGCAATAAATATTATATTGATAAATCATATCAATTTTATTTATTACAGTACATAATACTCTTGTTGTAAATCATATTAATTATATAAATTAGGATTGTCATGTTGAATTATATAACACGGGTTGATTATTTGTAAAAGCATTTGTACTATATGATTATGTGTATGTCGGTAGAATCATATTGATTTTTGGCTAGCCAGGATAGGCATGCCCCCAAGTGCTTGCTCTACAGGAAATCATTGAATTTTATTAGCCAACAGGCTGTCTTTACAAATCACTGAAATCAGTATCTTGAGTAGGGAACAAGGCTTTAACTTCATAAGATATGCAAGCCTAAAGTCAATCCTACTTGACTTGATTATTTGTAGGTGGAATCACTTAAGCATTTGTGATTGCTTGAAATTAGAAATCACATTAAAGACTATTATTTGGCTGAATGTAGTTATACATCAGCATTTATTTTAAAATTATAAGACATTTACCAACTAAGCTGGCTGTTACTAATACTTCTTTAAACAAATAAAAAGATTTTCAATATTGATGACTACATTTTTCACATTTAAAAACACAAACAAAATAAGATGAGCTAAATTAAACATGTTTCTTATTATATAATCAATAAAAAAGTTTGTATTTAGTGATTAAAGTTTCGTTTAGAATAGCCATCTTTTTGTTTTTTAAAGTAAGTTTTTAGCAATAAAATTTTAATTTTTGTACTGACAAGTTGCTTTAAGAAGCATTAAGAAAGCTGTCCCAAACAAAGTCTAAATCTTACGTCTTTTGATCAAAATTTTATTTGCGATAATTTTCTTATTGTTTCATAAACATTTTTTTAGTATAAAAATTATTAAATTAGAAAATTTTGTGCTAGAAAACATTAAGAAAGTTATCCCAAACGAATCCCAAGTTGCAAGAGCCGAATCACTTACTTCTCAAGTAATACAATGAACTGCATGCTTGCTTGGAGCTCATGTGATTTTCAAGTAAGAAATCATGTATTGAAAGTCATTAAAATTTATTAAATTCTTCTTGTGATTGTATGTAGTTGTACATCACTATTAATTTCAAACTCAACAAATCTCATCAAAATTAATGATTTTTCAGAAACATAAGTGATATATCATCAAAAAATTATCTTGATCGGGCTCGAATCTTGAGGAAAAAATCAAGCCGGATACTGGACTAGGCCCCGTGGTTTTCCCCCTTTTTAGGGGTTTTCCACGTAAAAATTTTGGTGTCTCATAAATGCTACGCCCTCCCTCTTTATCTGTATGCGTACTAAATTTTCGTACAACGCTAAGATGCTAAATTTTTTATTTCTCTACCGCCGCGAATACTCCTAGACGCAACAATAAGCATAATTTTTGCCCTCTAAAATTAAAAAAAATATAATGAAATCCAAAAATAGTGAGCTTGTCATTTTATCGAGGCCATGAACTTGGCGAGGCCACAAACGTGGGGATGACGAGCTCAGTGACGCCGTTAGAGCTTATTTCAACATAGAAAAGTTAGGCCTGCTTTCTCTTCTGGGGGCTCATCACCAGAAGCCATCTATAAATAACAAAAAATGATTTGTTTTGAAAATAACTTGTAATACAAAATACTAAAAATTAAATTACACGCATAGTAAATTAACTATTGCTATGCCGTACGTAAAAAACAAGCATTTAATATAAATTACAAGTGCAAACTACGATATCAAAGTACGTGTAAAAGATAAAACACATCTCTTAATACAATAATTTATTTTTATAGCTGTTAAACTATTCATGGAAACTAAATTTTTAATATGGTATAAATTTGTTGGAATTATATTATATGTAGGGTTTGTTCTCTTAAGCAACCTAATGAACTGATTAAAATATTATGGAAGGACATTGTGTTCTGTCTTTATGCTCAACATCTTAACAATGACGGATAACTTTATGTGAGTAGTGCACCAATTCTGAATTGGTTGTTGCGTGGCATGCAACAAATTATAAAAGTTTTGTGCCTCCTTAAAATTATGGTCCAGCTTCATCATAAATTAAGTCTTCGAATGCCCTAATATTTTCTTCCCCAACTATGTTCAAACATGTTGAAGATTTACTTCATTTCATTTCTATTAATAGAAAAGAGAATATTTATAGAACTTTCTTAAAAGTTTTTAAACAGCTAATAATTATCTAATGAGGACTAATTACCTATAAACTACTAAGCTCTATAACAACTCATTAATTCATTCTTTCACATATGATTTATTAATTATTACTTTAATCTACACAGAGAGAAAAGCGAAAATAAGAAAAGAAAATATGAGCAAAATAGGAGTAGACAAAATTCTTCACTGTCATTGCATGTTTGTTTATATAATTTCTCTTATATTCAGTCTCAGTCTATGCTTCATTTATATCCATTAGACAGTCGGGGGTTCGCTTCTTTGTTGTTGCCTCAACTTTGCGTTCGATCTTGGCATGAAGAGTCAAACTTCTTTGCCTCTTTAACAATTGTTTTCTTGTTAGATCTAAAGTGGCAGTGGGAGTTTTCAATGCGAGGTTAACGTCCTTTTACCCCTTTCGAGCACTTTTTCGGCTAAATCCAATAATCAGACGAACTATTGGATTTACTAAATCAAGCATTGAAGGCAAAATGGAGAAAGAAGAGGATTTAAGATCATGTAAGATTTATAGTTATCATTTTTGATAGAATTTAAGATAAATCTTGGTTAAATCCTATTGAAATCATACATCCAAACAACCTCCTCACTCATCAATAATTATAATAGGGTGATCTTCTCTTTGTTTAAACATGTTCAATAATTGGGCTCAATATCAATAGTTTCAAATAGGATATTTATATTGGTCGAGGAGCATTTTGGGTTGGCAGAGCTTTCGGTTAAATTATCAATATGAAAAGTTTAAAAGGTTCATGGCTTCAATTATTCAAATCTTAACATGTCGATGGAGAGAGATGGACAATGAGATGACACATTTTGACTTAGATAAATAGTGTCGATTTTTGTTTCTGAGTGTACTAATAACGCCCAGAAAATTGTAGATCTTGATTTTATCTTGTTGTCTGATTAGCTTGAGAGTGATTTAACGTTGTTTTGGTTTAGGTAATCATGATTAGAGTTTAATTAAATATTAACTTTATATTACATAGATTTAAGAGATTTACCCAAATTGTGATAGCCATAATCTTTTAGGGGCTGTTTGGATTCACCAACGATTTAATTTAAGTAGGATTTCTTAAATCCTCTAAATCTAGATTTATGAAATCTTTGGGGTGTTAAATCCTGAAAAATATTTGATAACATTCAACATAAATCCTAATAAATCCTCAAGAAGTATTTGACAATTCAATTCAAAATTTAAGGCTACTAAGAGATTTGATATTTATTTTTAATATAATTAAAGTACACCTAAAAAAATAAATAAAACATAACAAAATTTTGTTAATACTAATTAATATTCTAATGCTAATTAATTATTTATAATAATTATTTTCATTTAAAATTATATTTAATTCTATTAATTATTTTGAAATAACTAAATATTTACAATTTTAATAATTTAACTACTAATTTAAATATTATTTAATTGTTTTACTTAATTATTAATATTTTAAATTATATTAGTTAAGTTATCCGGTCTAGGTTTTGCTTGTCCCTTATCTGTTTAGTTCGGCTTCGTTCCTTCTCATGAGTGTGAAGTTTTGCACGAGTTATTCTTCGTCGCCGTTCAACTTCGCTACTTCGACGACGTGTTGGATCGGAAGTTACGACATTTTTTGATCGGAAGCAACAACGGGAGCTCGCTTGCTGTGAAGGTAACTTTCTCCCTTTCGCGCGCTTCTTCGGTCAAATCCCGTAAATCAGCCGAACCAAAGGATTTCTTAAATCCGGGATTTACTACGAAAAGAGGAAATTTTCCGTCAACCGCGGTTTTGATTTACCGCGAGATTTGTTTTTTGCATTTTTGGCCGTTTGGCTGGATTTAGATCAAACCTGCTTCAAATCCGGCCTAAATCCTGCATCCAAACAGCCCCTTAATCTGATAAATCTATGTATCTGGATTAATAATTTTTTATTTTTTTGGCAATATTTTGGTAATGCTTCTGGTTATTGACCAAAATTTTACCTTGGAGCTGTGCTTAAATATTCATCTACAGTAGGAATGACAACCGAGTCATCATCAATAATTATTGATGGGAAATTAGTTGCAAAGAAAATCAGAGATGAAATTGCTAGTGAAGTAGCAAGAATTAAGGATTCAACAGGCATTGTTCCAGGGTTGGCAGTTATTCTAGTAGGTTCGAGAAAGGATTCTCAAACCTATGTCCGGAACAAGAAGAAAGCTTGTGAAGAGGTTGGCATTGAATCTTTTGAGGCTAGTTTGCCTGAAGATTGCACAGAGGAAGATATTATCAAGCATATCTCCGACTTCAACAGCAATCCTTCAGTCCATGGCATCCTTGTACAATTGCCTCTACCTCAGGTATGTTGCATTTATTGTCATTAATGGTGGAATAGTTAATGTAGTAATTTAAGTTCGTCAATTTTCTCATGTCCTTTTTGGTGAATGACGAATTACAGTTGAAATAAGGACTTGTTTGCCTGAGGCAATGCGCATATCCTGGTTCATTAGTACTCTCAAAAAATATATTTTCTTTTTGTTATGGCAGCCTTGTTTTGGAACGCCCTCTTTTGCTGATGATTTATATTCTTTGTGTTTGCTCATTTTGTAATGAAAATGCATGATATGTAAAATTTTATTCATATTAGGGTCATCCATCTGTTGAATCTTTTCTGTAAATAATGTATTGGCTGTTTTGCTTGCACGGTGCTCCATTAAATTTTAGGGGGATTTACATACATACAACTTTATTTTATGCTATTTATATATCTAACATCTAAAACTTTAATATTACATGCCTAGCACCCATAGAACAAATATAGGTGCATGGAATGAAATATTAAAGTTTATAGGGTCGTAAGAATTAAATATATGAGGGATATATTTGATCTTAAAATTTTATATGTGTGGTGGGAATGTAATATGAAAGTTTTAGATCTTAGATATGTAAATAGCATGAAATAAAGTGGTATGTATGTAAATCCCCCATAAATTTTATTCTGCGATGTTATTCTTTAGGAAAACAGCTGATCTCTAGTTATGATTGTTCTATTGTAAGATCTCTGTGACAAACCAGTCCCTCCATTTTAAAAGTTATTAGGTGCATTCACCATGCTTAGTGGAAAGCGTAGGTGAATGAATGGTATAATACACACCAATACAACATCTTCAGGCACCTTTCTATGAGTGCATCTCGTGCACTTAATCTTCACTACCTTCTTAGGCCCATTAAGAAGACTGCAAAATGAAAAAAAAGGTTAAAGCAGCATTCATCAAAACCAAAAGAGCAAGAAAAAGAATTGGGAAAAAAAGTGAATAATTCATTTATCAGTTTGCAATTGGCATCTTATTTATCTTCCCGGCATACATAATGGTGTACTATATTGATTCGTTTACTGGTTTTTTGGCAGCACATAAATGAGGAGAAAATTTTGAATGCTGTTACTATTGAGAAAGATGTTGATGGTTTCCATCCACTGAACATTGGTCGGCTTGCTATGCAAGGCAGGGACCCGTTATTTGTCCCATGTACTCCGAAAGGATGCATGGAGCTATTGCATAGGTATAATATTGAAATCAAGGGGAAGAGAGCTGTTGTAATAGGGAGAAGCAATATTGTTGGAATGCCTGCTGCATTGTTATTGCAGGTATCTTTCCTTGTTATCTATTTTTAATGCTATGAGATTTAATAATTTCCAACTTTTTTTTTACTTTGATATCATTATTATGCTGCTTTGCATCTTCCATCTTGTTGATGGATGATTAGGACATATTGAGGGATTATAGATAATGATGCAAGATGATTTCGTTTTTTAATGCAACTAAAATGATGCAAATATGCAATTTATGTAGGTATGCAAGAGCATTTAAGATTCACGAATCAAAGACTACTAAATACACAAAAATAGCTTTTTTATGTGCAAACTAATAAATACGAGAATTGAAATCCAATGATAATGTAATGATCAAATAAATCTAATGAAATAAATGATAAATTGGAGCTATTCCAAATTAACGAGCATTGATAATTTATTCGCCATAACTAAAATCTTGGTTGTATGAAATTTAAATAAAATTAAGAACACTAACGATCCAATAACATGACATGCTAAAATAATTATATCAAGAAAATGATAAGTGAGAAATTTAGGTATCACGTAGGTACAATGAGATGATTTTCCCCAAAATTAGGTTGTTGCACTTATACCACACTCGAATGAATTGCATTCAACTTGCACACAAGATTGAAAATTGGAGGAATAAATTTTATTCAATCAAAATTGCTAGATTAAATGTCCTGAATTATCTATTTATAGAATTATTATCCTTGAATCAAGAATTTAAACAATTGCATAAAATAATCTATTCCACGTGAAAAAGTTGTATTCACATGATGAACCTATGAAACATAAATCCGCATGGTACTACATGAAATAGCGGTTAAACTCAATCCACGTGATAAGAAATTGCGCCGTTAACAATGCTAGAAGATCAAAACTGCCTGTGAAATAGATACTTGTAGAAGTAACAACATAACACACAAAGCTACATTCTCAAGAATAGGGCTACAATTTCACATCAATCTGCTTTTCTTGGAAAAATTTGGCTTTGACAATGTTAATTTTTGGTACTTATCAAACATCACTTTATGAGCCATTACAAAAATATGCATTTTTCCAATAAACAAGATATATCTAGAATCCACCATCAACAACAAAGGCAATCTTATTATCCATAATCGTCTCAAGAATAAGTTGTATAAAATTTTATGACAAATGATTGGATGCAGATTCATTAGGAGGAGGTGAAAAAATAGAATAATATAAGAAATTTATAGTAGAGTCATGAAATCGGGTCAGTTCAGGCACACTTAAAATTAGAAGAATACTAGAGTTTTTTTTTTATTTTTCAATTTGTTGGTGGTTGTTCCAATGCATTGCAGGCACACTTAAAATTAGAAGAATACTAGAGTTTTTTTTTTTATTTTTCAATTTGTTGGTGGTTGTTCCAATGCATTGCACGATTTAACATGGTTATACTTTTCTTGTATTTAATTTCCTGAAGGTTCCTAATTAAGGCTTTATAAATTTAAACACAATGACTTTATGACTAGATTTAAACTTCACCACCCTGCTCACATCAACATAAAACTTATAATTGGCATATTTAGCGGCTCCTGTTCTAAGAATATTCTCATGCAATTCAAGAACATCATGCAAATCATTTAAATAATATGAGGCTAGTATTAAAATGATAATACAAACATGAGAGATAGTTATAATGACCTATAACTAAATCTTAGAAAATGATTTGATCAAGAAATGAAAAGCATACAAATCATAATAATATGATTCCTATATAGACATCTGTCATCTTTAAAGAAAGTTAATCCAAATTACTTGTATTAAGTGTGATGAGTTATATGCCTTTAGCATGAATCAGATGGATATAATTTTTATATTTCACGCTTCTTTTAAGATATTCGTTATTTGAATTTCTTGAAATATCAATGCTACTTAGCTTTCGACTTGAGGTTTGTTTTATATGTTTGAGAGTAAAAAAACCAAGAATTAAATATAAAATCAATATCAGTCTCATCATCCATTATATGAATTATATTAATAGATAATTCATCAAGTTTTGCTTCATTAAATTTCTCGTTTTATCAATCAACTAACTACAATAGAATGATAGATATGATTGATATAGTTTTACTTTCAGGTATAGATTCAATCTCCATTTAAAATTCTAGTCCATATTTGATCTCATGCTCAATTTTACTTTTAAACTTCAATTTTGACACTTGATCAAGTATGGGTTCAATTTCATGAACATCTAATATATGGAAATTCAAATTCAAAATCATTAGATGTAGTTGTATTTTTTAACTATTAACTGTATAACATTTTTGTATCTAAAATATCTTCTAAAAAATATTAATGAACCACCATTTCTTCAATAAGGTTAAATTCAAATCGTACATGAGTGTTGTGTTGTAGTATTTTCAGAAGGCTTTAGATGAGTTATTACTGAGTTTTCCTTATGAATAAACACACGTGTAACAGTCCTAATAGTTGGGTAATTGTAATATTTTTTAGGTGGATTTACATGCACACTGCAAAATTTTTATGCATTCTTGTATATACATATTTAACACTTAATTTTTTATATTTATTTGTATAACACTCAAATCTCTAAATCAGATTTAAAATATCACTAAGATTAACTTAAATAAAGTGGAATACATATTTTTATTATATGTTTTGATGTGATTTAGACATTAATATAAGTAAATATAAAAACTTAGGAGTTAGATGGATAAATGTATAAGAATTTTGTTGCATGTTTGTAAGTACAACTTGTTTTTAAAAAAGAACCAAAATAGTCTGTGTTTAGACTATTTTGGTTCATCTTTAAAGAGTTGAGACTAAAATATTACTTTAATATAGTTGGAAATTATTTTTATCTTTCATAAAGAGTCAAGGGCCATTTTGATCATTTTCTCTAATTTTTAGCTATATGGCTTATAAACCTTGTGCAATGCTCAAACATATCATATTTTTCTTGTTGCAATATTTAAATTTTCATACATTTGATCCCTATTTACAACAAATGGCAAATATTACTCATTTTAAGTCTGTTTCATATTAGATTATAATGACTTAATAGTAACACTTTGCCAAAATGATTAATCATGTCCTACTAGTTTTGATTTGGCGCATTTACCTCTTTAGGAGTCAAAGAGGTTGCATTTTTCAAAGAAATATTTCCAATTATCAAATCCAGTTTCAAAACTTTTGAAGATCGTGACATCCTTCGAACGTAGGAATAAATTTTGAACCTCACAATGTTCAAGTTGTGGTTTTCTAGAACTTTAACTTGATTTTGTATAAATTACATCATTTATTAATTTAGTTAATATGTCTTATAGTTAGTTGACATGATGATGCAATCATAGGTTCTAATATCAATATGACGTAGGATATGGTTTTTGATTTCTCAATGCAAATGGAAAGATGAAATTTATTTTTATCACAGCACAGAATTTGGGATTCGCAGATCAAATATTAATAAACATGCAAACACTTGATTTATTTATATGCAAATTATTAAATATGAGAATTAGAAGAATTAGAATCCAAGTTATAATGCAATGATCGAATAAATTTGAATTAATCAATAAGAAATTCAAATAACACAAAATCAATGAGGAAATGCATTTTATTCATCACAATTAAAAGTATAATTGTATCAAATCTAAATGATTTTTGAAAACACTAACAAGCCAATATTAAGATATGTTGAAGAAAGTAGGCCAAGGATATGATCCATGCCCAACGTTGATATAAGTAAATGGCTTCCCTTGGAATTAGGTAATCATATTTGTACTCATTCATCTAACTTCTACACACAAGATTGAAAATTGAAAGAAGAAATTTATTCATTCATTCAAAGTTGCTAAATTACGTCTTAGATCATCTATTTATAGACTTTTTATCACTAGATTAGTAGATATGATTAACACAATCAGCCAAATTTCAATCTTACACTTAAATCTTATGATCTTATCCAAAAAATCAGGAATTTAAACTGCAGCATAAAATTATCTCTCATATCAATAGAAGCAGTACTCGATGAGCATGTGAAACAGAAAACAGAAAACCGCATGAGCGGCTGGAAATTGTGCCATTAGCGATTCCACCAGACCAGAATTTCCTACAGAATACTGAAGAGTAGAAAAAGGAATTTTGGGTATACCATAGCGCAACACCATCATGGTTTCAGTTTCAAGCGGAAACCTTCTACACTTCTGGAAATATATTGCCCGTTGAAGTAACAACAGAACTGGCAAAGCTATAGTCTTATAGGCTGGGCTACAGTACCGCATTAGATAAAGCCACAGGCTTACTCTTTCAGTTTAAGGCTTCGTTTGGATGGCTTTCTTATTGCTTCTTAAAGCAGCTTTTTATTAAAAAAATTTAATTTTTGTACTGAAAAGCTGTTTTAAGAAGCATCAAGAAAGCCATCCCAAATGAACCCTAAACGACTTTTACTTTCAATCATCATACTAATATGGCTAATTCTGTTTTGACAGAGAGCAAATGCAACAATAAGCATCGTACATTCAAAAACCAAAAACCCGGAAGAAATCATAAGGCAGGCTGATATACTCATTTCAGCCGCTGGAGTTCCAAATCTGGTGAGGGGTAGCTGGCTAAAACCCGGTGCAGTTGTTATAGATGTTGGAATCAATGCTGTTGATGTAAGTCGAAGTCACCCTCCCACGTTAATTGGAAAACAAATTTGTGAGCTTCAAATAAACTTTGCTAAACCTGCTTGTCCTTATAAATCTGATTGATGTGATCAATTTAATTTGGTAGCATTTGTTCCCTTTTATTGTTCCCATGACTTTTCTGCTGACTTTTTGATACTCAAATCCATTTGATTTATTTTTACTTATTGTTGAACGGACATATTTTAAAATTAGATTCAGCCACAGGGGACCAATGATGATGGCTTGACGTTTAAGGCTTTGTTTGAGACAGCTTTTGTACTGCTTCTTAAAGCAGCTTTTTAATACAAAAATTAAAAATTTATACTAAAACACTGCTTTAAGAAGCAATAAGAAAACCGTCCCAAATGAAACCTAAATGATTTGAACTATCCTAGAACTTGTATTTGAGCTAATCTTTTTTCCTATTGCATGATGTAGCATGAAATTGATCAAAATGATTATCTATGAAGTACTGGATCAAACCAGAAACCATGCTTTCTATGGGGTTGAACACTTTCTTGAGATTTAGGCTTTGTTTGGGACAGCTTTCTTACTGCTTTTTAAAATAATTTTTTAGTAAAAAATTAAAGTTGTCCCAAACGAAGTCTTAATATGAGATTGAACTCGTTTCTGTTATCATGTTATCAAGCTTATATTCTTTCATTTGGTCCCCTATGCTCAAGTCATTTTTATTAAAATGAAATATTTATTTTGTATTGTCCGTGAAATTTATATTCCGATATGTTTCAGGATTCAGAGAGCCCTCGAGGATACAGACTAGTGGGCGATGTCTGTTTTGGGGAGGCCTCCAGTGTGGCTTCAGCTATTACTCCTGTACCTGGTGGGGTTGGTCCCATGACTATAGCCATGCTTCTATCCAATACATTGAGCTCTGTCAAGAGGATACATGATCTCAAGTAATATTTGGTTAATTTGACCAACTCTTTTACCATTTGGATTTTGGATTATCCCTAAATGTTATTGTTATAATTGAAAACAAAAAATGAATAAAGAAATAAACGTTTGTGCTATTTGTATCTCGTAGAGATAAATTGAGATATAGTATTTGGATCTATAGTCTACAAATTTAAGATTTCGTTTGGGATGACTTTCTTGCTGCTTTTAAAAGTTGTTTTAAAAAGCAATAAGAAAGTCATCTCAAACGAAGACTAAATGTTAAACAGTTAAGGATTCTATGCCTCAGGTATCTACTTTGGAGGAAGCTCTAGAGATGAGGATCAATGGAAGAACTTTACAACAACAACAACAACAACAACATCAAGCCTTTATCCCACTACGTGAGGTCGGCTACATGAATCCTTTTTCTCCATTGTGTCCTATTAAAAGTCAAATTCTCGTTTAAATCTAATAAAGGTCATTCCTAATATTTTCTAACCAAGTCTTTTTAGGTCTACCCCTACCTTTCTTAACACAAGTCAAATCTAATACCTCTACTCTCCTTACTGGGTCATCGGAAGGTCGCATTTTTATGTGACCAAACCATCTAAGGCGACTCTCTCTAATCTTATCTTCTATTGGAGCTACTTCAACCTTTTCACATATATGCTCATTTCGTATCCTATCTCTAAGGGTAAAGCCACTCATCCACCTGACCATCTTCATCTCTGCCACACATAACTTAGTATTATACTTCTCTTTTAATGGCCAACATTCGGCACCATAAAGCATTGCATGCCTCACTATCATCTTATAGAATTTTACCTTAAGTTTGAGGGGTACATTTCTATCACATAACAAGCCCAATGCATTCCTCATCTTCAACCATCCAACTTAAATTCTGCTGATAATATCCCCATTTGATGCACCAAAGCATCCATGCAGGTCTGAATCCATAGCAGGTACGCTTTTTAGGCTTGAACAGTTATCACAGGTACGCGGCAACTCACGTTGTACTTAGAATACAGTTAGCCTGAGGATTCTCATACTTAGTTTTTTTTTAAGGACTCTCATACTTAGTTGAAGATGATCAGGTCCATTCACATAGGTTTAAGCTTGAACAGTACTTTCAATCATTTTCTGACGTTTAATATTTATTTTTTATATCATGGAGTTAAGTTTCATTTGGGATGGCTTCATTATTGCTTTCTAAAATAAAATTTTAATATAAAAAATTTCTGGAATCAGAGAAAAAAGTCGCAAAAAATTGTCTCAAATGAAGTCTTAATTTTAGCATATTTAAGCCGCATTAGAGCCTCTTGATGTGATTATAAGCCATTGAAGGATTCAAGTTGAATATTTCAATAAAAAATGGAAATTATGATCATGAGTGAGCGACTAAGGCTTCGTTTGGGATAATTTTTTGACTGTTTTTAGAGTAATTTTTTTTAATATTTTAATGTAATTAAGTTCAAATTTTGATGTAATTTTTAGATTTTAAAGTGCCAAAGTATTTGGGTCAAAAACTTCAAGAATAGATTCTAATCTCATTTTAACTATATTTTGACAAAATTATAGCCGAGAAAATGTAGTTTGATTAGATAAACTCAATGATACCAAATAAGCTTGTACTCAAGTCAAAACGGGCCTAATTCAACCACTCATAAATATAATTGAAATCTTTTCTTCTTGAGAACATTTAAAATTAGAACAAGCCTATTGGCGAGAAGAATTTAATGAATATAAGATCACCAAATTTTATCTTAGAGAACCAAAAATAATTTAAATAGAAAAAACTTGGATTTAAAATGACAGTAAATTTTATATTTATATTATTAAGAAATCCATTAGAAGATTAAGGCTTCGTTAGGGACAGCTTTTTTTCTGCTTCCTAAAGCAGCTTTCTAGAACAAAAATTAAAATTTTTATGCTAAAAAGCCGCTTTGAGAAGCAGTAAGAAAGCCGTCCCAAACGAAGCCTAAATTACAGACCTCAGCAAGATAATACCTGCTTACTTGGAATACCAAGCAATTGCTTAAGTGAAGAGAGCTTCTCCATGAAATGTAATATAGCTGCTTCTATCACCAATAACCCCCACAAGAACAAATCCCATCCTTAAAATGATGAAATCTGTTATTATCCCTTACTAATATGGTTCTCCCAGTAATCTCAGATATGAGCTTAATAGCAGAATGACAATCTCCACATATGCGCAAGTTCTTAAATACTCGAATTACAGATCTCTTATGCAATTTTATGAGGCCTAAGCCAATTGCTAATCTCTCGCTATGCTGAAGCAAGTACTCCTCAGAGTCATCCACACTTCTAAGCACATAATTATCATCAGGAACATAGCCCATTGTCTTCATCTTTCCTGCTAACTCCTTCAAAGTCCTGTAGATTTCTTCAGCAAGAGGATGATTTCGATCCCCGGCATGGAAGGTATGAGCTTCATTATCTATCTGGATCCAACTTACTCCAGGCTCCTTCTTCACACCTCTTGATTTCATCAGCTCTCTTATCTGATCACCCTCCTTCCACATTGCTACTGATGAATATATGTTTGCCATCAAAATATAGTGTCCAGAATTCTCTGAATCTAATTCAAAGAGCTTCTCCGCCGCAAGCCGCCCAAAGCCAACCTCTTTATGCAGCCGGCAAGCCCCAAGCAAGGCTCCCCAGGTTGACACCTCAGGCTCTATTGGCATCTTATTGATGACTTCATGAGCTTCTTTTAGGAATCCTGCTCGGCCTAGGAGATCCACCATGCAACTGTAGTGTTCAGCTCGAACCTCAACTTCATCTTCCTCTAACATATTGATGAAACAACTTATTCCTTTTTCTACAAGCCCGCCATGGCTGCAAGCTGAAAGCAGGGAGAGGAAGGTCACACCAGTTGGCTTTACATTTTCCTCCTGCATTTTCCTGTACAGCACAAAGACCTCACAGCTTTGCCCATGCTTTCCATATCCAGTTATCATTGAATTCCATACCACAATATTTCGCTCATCCATGCGATCGAAGTAGCTTCTAGCATCTTCTAGAGACCCACATTTTAAGTACATGTCAACCATTGCACTGTCCAAGACTACTGAACAATAAGAGAAACTTCTCTTGATCACAATGGTATGAAGCATCTCCCCAAGTTCCAGGGCTGGTAAGCTTGCACAGATGTTGAACAAAGGAACAAGGGTTAGTGATTCATAAATCACCCCTTCTATGGTCATTCTAATAAACAGTCTGAAGGCCTCATTCTTAAAACCACATTTTGAGTATCCCATTAACATCATATTCCATGAAACTAATGTTCGCTCTCCCATCTGATCAAAAACCTCTCTTGCTTCATCGACTCTTTTGCGTTCTAACAATGCTGATATCATCACATTAGTGAGATAAACATCTTTGTCTCTAGCTATCTCATAAACTTCATAGGCATATTTCATGGCCTCACATTGTGCATACAAATTAACAAGCAAGCAACGAAGAATTTTATGATCTTCCATTGCGTTTCTAATCATAAAGCTATGAATTTGCTTCCCAACTTTTAAATCGGAAAGACCGATGCAAGAAGAGAGGGCGCTGGCCAGCGAAAAACTATCTGGCTTTGTCCCATGAAGTTGCATTTGGTAAAATAAACATAACACAAATGAATAATTACCAACTTGCTCGTGTCCATCCATAAAAGAATTCCAGGAGTAATTATTCCTTTCCTGCATACCGTAGAAAATACTTCCAGCTTCTCTTAACCTTTTACATCTAGCATACATGTTAACCAGTTCAGTCTCCACAACCACATTTAGATTAGTACCAGATCTAATTATGTAGGCATGAATCTGCTTTCCTAGATCTACAGTCCCTTGATTAGCAGCTAGAGTTAACAGATTGGCAAGTGTGAATTGGTCAGGAGGGAATACTAATCTCATCTTATGATATAGATGAATTGCTGCTTCTACATTGTCATGTTGTACATATCCTGAAATCAAAGCATTCCAAGAGACCTCACTCCTCTCGTCCAATTTATCGAAGGCATGGTGAGCTTTCTCTGGGCAGCCACACTTTGCATACATATCAACAACTGCAGTACCAAGTATCAAATCCTTATCAAGGAATCTCCTTAGCAGGTAGCCATGAAACTGCCTGCCCATATCCAAATCAGGCAATGCGGCACAAGCCGCAAGACTGCTTCCTAAATTAAACCTGTCGCATCGATGACCAGAATCCTGCATTCTTGAGAATTGATGAAAAGCCTCATCATAGAACCCAAGGTGAGCATAGCTAGCTATCATGGAGTTCCAGCTGACTTGATTCTTTTCCTTGATAAGCTCAAACACCATTCTGCTACTATATTCATCGCCGCAGCTGGAATACATGTCAATAAGAGAATTTGCCACGAAAATATCAGATTCATACCCAGAAACAATTAAATTTGAATGAACTAGTTTCCCTTTGCTCAAAGATTTCATGGTGCCACATGCTCTTATGATAGTAGCAAATGTGAAGTGATCAGGGATAGTACCAACGCAAAGCATCTCATGGAAAGAACACCATGTTTCCTCCAGTAATGAGAGCTTGAGATAGCCACTTAGAATGGCATTCCAACTGATCACATTGTCTCCATCAATCTCATCGAAAGCAGCAGCTGCGTCATTCATCCATCCAAACTTAGAATACCCTTCAACTAAAGCCCCACCTACAACTACATTGCTATTCAATCCAACCTTAATTATCAAACTCTGAACTTGAGAAACAGCCTCTTTGTCATCCAGTGAAATGCATCCCTTGATCACACTAGGGAATGTGAATTTACTAGGGGAAGTTCCATCTCTCAGCATATGCAAAAAGAGTTGGAGAACCTCGTCGTGATCCTTTTCCCGTGAATAAGCCAGGATCATGGTGTTCCAAGCAGTGTAGTTTCTTTCAGTCATTTCATCAAACATTTTGCGTGCGACGGCTACATCATCCCTGTCGCCACTCCTCGCGTAAAGCATAAGGATTTTGGTTTGTAAGTAGGTATCAGGGACGAAGCCCTCGGAGAGCATCTGGGAATGGATGGATTTTCCAGCATCGAAGGATTGGGAGTCGATACAAGATTGGATGAGGGAAGAATATGGGCGAAAGTTGGCGTCGGAGATGGGAATAACAGGTTGAGTGAGTAGAGTTTGAGGGCCATTGAAACCATTGAGAGAGGAGGATACGAGTTTTGCCTGAGAAGAGATAAAAGTGGTTGCTGGACTGGATTTACAGTGAACAGAGGAAGGAGCTGGAGAAAGAGCGCATGGGATGATGGATCTGAGGGAGCAGAGCATTTTCAAACGAAGATCGGCTAGTTTTCTTTTTCTCCCTTTCCTTATTTTACATAAAATAAAAATAAGGAATAGAAGTATAGAACCCATCATATTTAGGATTCGTTTGGTACAACTTTGTTAATGCTTTTCAAAATATTATTTAAGTTAAAAAATTTTCAAAATTTTTTTGAATTAGAAATTTTGTACTAAAAAGCTGTTCTAGAAATCAATGAGAAAACTGTCCCAAACGAAGCCTTAGTAAATACTTCGAAAATTGATGTCAAATATCAATTAAATTTTGTTTATGTTAAATTAGAGAAAAAAATAATATCATTCTCATATAAAATACATCAGAATGATAATCTTTAAGGAAATTTATAAAATTTAGAATATTATACACATATATAACATTAATTTTAACAAATCGAATGGCTTTGATGCCCTTCCTATGCTTTTTTTTTTTGCATTGGGATATCCTAACATAATTTTCTTTCTATTAAAATTACATTTTGACACTCAATTTATAAAACAATTGAAAAACTTATTGAGAATTCTAAAGATTTAATAACTTCTATAAGGTAGTAATACTTTTTTTAGTACTCTCTTGACCATTTATGATTCAATGACTTCTTTTTATCGCTTTGTTCCAATTGGTCATCCAATTCTTCTTCCTTTCAAGAAAGAAATTACATGGATTTCCTTTGCATCTCCTTTCATGAAAGAAATTTCCTCAAGCAACTTTTATCATTCATAGCTAATTAGTCATCTAATTCTCCCTCTTTCCAAGTTAAGAATTTCCATGATTCTAATTTGTTATATGTTAGTTTTGAGATGCTTAGTTGATCCTCTTCTTTCATGAGAATGGCTACAACAATTGCACAATCACTCATTTTTTAAAGAAGACAAGTGCACCGATAGTCACGTGTCACTCACTAACTTTTTATCATATAATCTCTATTCTTTTTTAGTAGAATAACTACACAAACTGCCTCTATCATTAGTCTATGTATTGCCACCCGTGCTTCATTTTTATAGGAGAATAATTAAACTGAGCCTCCTCCATCACTTGTCCATAAAGTATGTCTTATTGATTTTTAGTAGCTTGCTAAAAACTGATCATTCAATTATTCCTTCATTCCAAAAAAGAGATTGAAATAACTTTCTCCACATACTAACTTCCGATCATTCATCCCTTCCTTCTTTCTGGAGATGAAATTCACATACTTCTTTCAATTACTTATTGGCTTTGAGTCGTAATTAAGTCCCCTATTCATTTAGGAGTGGGACTATATCGATCACTCTTTATCATGATCTACAGTAGTATCTTCAATTTATTATGATAACATATTCTCATTCTAGTATCTTATCGTCTACCTTGAAGGGAGGACTAATTTGGTCATATAATCGGCCTCTATTAACTAACATTCTCTCCTCACAATAATTTTATTTTATTTGGTGAGCACCTATCATATAAATTTAAAAAATCTCTTAATAATTATCTCTCTCTTGTATTACTAAACTATTCCAATTGAGAGGAGAGTTTGATTAAGACATTATCATTATTCTTTTGCAGGAGATGAGGAAGAGTTCCACCTTATTGAAGATTCAGCCCTTCTTAATGCTTGATTAGGAATCATAATTGGATTCTTCTGACTATTTTACTTCAATTGAACCATCATCATATTTGTTTAAGAGGAAATGAAGATTACTTCCTATTGTTGATCTAAATAAATATTCTTCTAACTTACAAATAGGATGTTTGTTGATCACTTTCAATGGACAAACAATTCAATATTCTTATAATTAATTTGATGAGTCATAAGTAGAGATTGTGTCAAACTCTATTTCCATTTTAAAATTATCTATAATTTATCAATGATATGTATATATAAGTGTATTGAATTAGCTATATAAAAGAATAAAAATAAATATGAGGGTATGACTTTTAACATTTAAAATTAATGTGCTAATATAAGAAAAATTATAAATTATGTGATAGATACTTTCTTTACAGCAACTTCACAATCAACTTTATAAGCAATCATCCCAAACAGATCCTAACTAATTAATGGAAGTAGCATATTAAAAATTGATTCCTCTCATCGATTCATATCAATATATCTTTGATGTCATTGAACTTGTCTCTCATGAGCATTAAATTCGAATATAAATTTTTTGAAATAGAAGTTCAAATGATCATTGTTTTGATTCTGAATGTTCACAATTCAAATATTGCATCAAAATTTGTGCTTGATTGTAAATATTTTCTTGTGAGAAAAGTAGCTCTTACGATCAATGAGTTTCATAGGCAAGTACCCTAGATATATGGTTGAATACTAGTTATAGGTTAATGAGAACTCCAAGCAAATACATTCAGGGGCTATTTGGTTTGAGGAAAAGTAAATACAAATAATTTATTATGCTTTGCTTTTTCAATTTTTGGTATTTTGTTGAATGAAAAGTAAAATCCAAAGTAAAGTGTGAAGTGTATTTCATTCTAGTTCAATTTTTAGGTAAAGTGTTCTCCTCTAATTTTGGGCGAGAACGCTTTACAACGCTTGCTCCTTGCTTAAGGATCATTGTCGAAGACCTCAGTCGGTGCCCCCCTCACTGCCTGTTGTTGTCAGCCATCGTCGCCTGCCCCACCTGTCCCTGCCAGCCACATTCGCTATCGTCGGCAGCTGCATGCAACCACCTCCACCTTCATTACTCGACCACCGCTACCAGAAACCACCACCATCGGCCGTCATCATTTAAGACTTTTACTCTACATTCATTACTTTCAACCAAATAAAAAAATTATTTGCGTATTTACTTAACATTCATTAAATAAACTCTAAAGTATTCATTTTGCATTGCATTCCTTTTATAGTTACGATGCATTCCTTTTTCAACCGACCAAACAACCCCTGTATAGTTTTTCTAGTACTTCAAGCTGTCTTTATAAATTATAATGTTATTTAAAATATTTTGTAAGTTATTTATGGTTAAATAAGATAATATTTAAATAATTATTGAAAAAATTCATCTAAATAATGACATGGATTAAGCTCAACTCTATAAAATTAAAGAGGTTGTGGTGAAAAAAAATTATATCAGAATATTTTGATTAAATTTTTTATGAACATAAAAATTAAAAATTTAAATCTATTTTAAAATCAGAATAATATAAATAATTATCTATTAAATTTATTTTAAAATAAAATTTAAAAATTTAAAAATCTATCATAAATATTTTATATCAATAAATTAGGAAACAATCATTTTCTTTAATTTTATCTACTTTTTTTTTTAACAAAAACAACAAATTCATTAATAATGAAAAGATACAAAAGAAGACCACATATAAGGCCACATCAGAAGCTTACAGAAAGAACAACAAAACAAAGAAAAGACCAAAAGATTAAGGGTCGAAAGACTCGGACTCAGACCAGCTTCGGGTTGTCAGGGCGGGGTCATCCACTGGTAAATACAAAATCGAAAGAGAAGGGCCAACCAGGTTGCCAACCAACCCTGGCCATCCACGACGCTTGCAACACCGCTGCTTCCTCATCGTCCATATCAAAACATTTAGCACGATCAACCAACAGACCAAAAAGGCAACCCATCAGTAGATAATCCACAAGATCAACAACCCAAAACAAAACCAAAGCAGCTAACATCAATCAACGACCACGTTGGCCCCAGCCATGAGACCTTCCACGAGAGGAAACAGAAACAAGAGGTTTGTCTCGCAACAAATTAAAAGAAGTACCAGGATCACCATCTCCAATTGATTCCACAGAATCAGAATCAGACTCCGAACTATAATCATGAAGCCAGTCCAGATGGACCCGAAGATTCAAGCCCAAATTATCCTTCACATTATACATTAATCCACGAGGATCCATAAAATTAACATGAACATCTACAACACCATTAATCACTAAGCGATCATTACGAGTTGGGCTAGAGTCCCCAGAAACAGCCACCTTATACACATCCTCACCCAAATTATCCATGACAGCAAGCATTACCGAGCAATCCAAGTCCTCAGAAATTAAAGCATGACCAACCAAAACAGAGGGGGCAGACCTCACAGACACCAAAGGAACCTCACAAGGAAGGTCCTCAACACCATGACAATCATGATTGGAGGCCAAATTCTTACCCAAAGGAATAAAAGGTTGAGCATCAAGAGATAAAGTAGTAGCAAACTCAACATCTTTAGCAACGCCAACCACCTTAGTTTCCACCTCAATAACCACATTTTCCAAACCAACCAAAACTGGGGAGTCACAAACAGATACAGGAGCACAAACAAGATCACCTAAACTAACAATAGCATTAGGCACAGCGAAATTACCACAATCCGAACTCAACATCGCAGGAACGTCAGCAGGAAATGCAGTTGGTAAATCACATTCCACAGAAACAGGAGCCACCTCAATAACAAGCGGCACATCCACGACAGCAAGCCCCAAGACAGAAGGCTTAGAGGGGTCAGCACTCGCAACATCACAATTTGACTTACAACCATCCCGAACATGGCCAAAAGATTGACAAAGATCACAGAATGGGGGAAAGGCCTCCATTTCAACCTTTTGAATATATCCAAGCTTTTCAGGGCCAATCCATACATAATCCGAAATTTTTTTCGTTATGTCAATCTCAACCAGAACTCTCGCAATAGAAGGCCTAGACCCTAACAAAGTCACAGAATCAACCTTCAGCGGCTGTCCAAAAATCGAGCCTAAGGCATGAAGAATCCTCGGGGTAAAAAGATGATGACGAAGCCCCGGGAAGGAGATCCAAATAGGAATAATCGGGCATTCAACAGATATGTCCAAAGTTGGGGTCCATTTAGTTAGTTTCATGTAGCAATTATAGACAAGGTAGGAACCATGGCTGAATACCCGGCTGTAATCAAGGTCGTTAGAAAGCTTCACCAAAATGTGAGAAGAATCCAAAATGATGATAGAGCACTCCTCTAATAGATTAAGATTAGCAAAGAACCTCCTAATAGAGTTAAGACTCGGACGACGAGAAGGAAAGAAACCGACAAGCAAGAAACGAAAAGGAATAGCCAGTGCCCTAATTTCGTCCTAGAAAACCCATAAGGAA